TTCTGCACACAGGCCTTCAGGTGTTCACTCTGACTAAAGAAAAGATTTCTGAGTAGGATGTTTCTTAAGATAGTTGCTTCTAATGCAGAAGTACATCCTGTTTTTTTCTTAGATTTTTTTGCATTACCTTTAGAGGTTTAGGATAAGGGTCTCACTTAGGCCTTTAGTCCACATCATTCCTACCAGTTGAAAGAAATAACTGTGATTGTGTACCATGCTGGCTGTGATCTTATAAATAACAGATGCACATATCTCCCATATCTGTATGTTTTCTTTCTTTCCTTTTCTGACTGGGAAATACTGAGCTGTACACACCTTTGTTTATTAACAGTATCACACAATATGACTAACATGATGCTCCCTTAAATGTATGCCAGAGGACAGGTGCGTCTGCCAAGCTCTCTCCTCACTTAGCTAACATCAGGTGATGTGCACTGTGTCTCGCTCATCTCTTCAACCTTTCACACAGATGGATAGCTTGCAATTTTGCTGTGAAGGTCACTGGTTTTTTAAATCCATCTTTGCTACCACTACGCACTTGATCAGCATAACAGTTTTGTCTGCATACTGCAAAGCTGTGCTTGAGTTTGTAATCCCTGCCAATAGGTTAGGCCAGATAATTAAACTGAGAATCTGAAGGAAATTCAATACAATCTATTAGAAGTGAGTGACCCAAGTGAGACTTTGGTATTCGCGGGCTGCATGTAAAGCTTTTCTATAGCATCACGTTCCAGAAGTCATTCACTGCTTATGTTGGCTTCTGTGTAGTAGGGTCCAAGTACTGTGCATGCTGGATTTACTAAGAAACCTGATGGATTCGTGTCTCCCTCAACAAAATACAACATTCATCTCATTATCTAAGCACTCAGTGGTATGGATGAGTTGAGCCGAATTAAAGAGCTGACATGTCATGAGCGTCACCAGTGACACAATATTAAATCCATCTAAAGAACACAGCATCATTCATTTTGTGCCATGTGATCAGCTCTGGCAGTTCACAGTGTGCCCAGTACAAAAATGGCCAACTAACCGACTGCAGTGATTATATGAAACAACGTTTTCACAGGATCCTCTGCAGTACTGTGAAAAACGAAGTACAATCCATGATTCAGTAGTTTGTAGTTTGTTTGCTGTACGACTTTATTATTGTGGAAGAATTCTGACCCACTCTTCTTTGCAGCTTTGGTTCATTGAAATTTGTGGGCTTTGTTTATACACAGCTCTCTTACGACAGCATTGTAATCAGGTTAAGGTCGGGACTTTGCAACACTTTGATTCTTTTCCTTTTTCAGCCATTCTGTTGTAGATTTTTCTGCTGTGGTAAGGATCATTGTCCTGCCGCGTGACCCAAGGTTTAGCTTCCAGACAGTTTTGACTCTAGAACACTTTGGTATAAGAGGAGTTCACGGTCGACTCAATGACTGCAAGGTGTCCACCACCACGCATGGCAGTTGTTATGAGGTGGCCTCTTCTCCCTTTCACTGCTTTTGTATCTTCTTCTTCTTATTATTATTTTGTGCTCAAACCTTAATATAAGCTCTGCTTTTCTCTTAAAAGTAACTGTGGCAGAATAAACATAAAAATACTGTCATTAGTTTTATCCAAAGGCAAAAACTAACAAAACACAACCTATTCTCGCTTTGTTACTCACCCATCTGAGACTTTTGTGCTCAGACTACTAATACGACAGCGTGTCTTCACGCATTGCTAATTTTCTCATCCACAAACACCAGCGAAGTTGAGGTGAAGTCTCCCAAGTGCCACTCTGTCATTCTGTCACACCACACATCAGCAGCGGTGACGGCGCTTCTTCGCAAACTTCGGACTTTGCAGAAATGAACGGCTGCATCCTTCCTTCCTGCCATTTCCCCCGGCTTGTGTGGGAGCTGAATTCAATATGACCTATAGTGGAATGTGACAGCAGAGGGCTGCCACAGCCCAGCCTGACAGGTCTGCCAAATGACTCCCTCTCTCTCCCTCACACCATGCACGCTTGAGCCAGCTCCTTTTGAGGCTCTTTCGTTTTTTCTCCCCCTGAACTGCAATGCCATGCATCAGCTGAGAGCCAAGCCTGTTAACAGGATCACTTCTCCACAGTGCAGCGACTGCAGGAACAGTTTTACATGGCGGACACACTCAATTACATATATACACGCTGTTTAATTCCACAGATCAGTTCGTCCACACAGACCATTGGTATTGCATTTGAACTTAGCGTGGTGTCTCGAAATGTGTGAATTTAACAACTGTCTGGGTCGCGGGGCCACAGACATCAGACAGAGATGATGTAATGTATTCGTAGTTGTTTGGATTCTTAGCCGATTAATCTCACAGTTACAGTATACACTTTTATCAAAATGATATTTGGACGGTGTTTCATCCCTCCATTGGTGTGTTGGTGTTTCTGTAATTTCTTTATTTTGTTCTTTTTCTTGTGGAAAAACATCCAGATAAAGTGAGACATATCCTGCCTGCTATATTTTATGTGTGATTGACATACAGTCAGTTAGGCGGTCACCTCAGGGGACAGAGAAAGCTTGAAAATGAAATAGTTTAGTGTTTGGCCAATCGATACAAGCTGTGATGCAGTAAATGTAGAATTGCTGATAAAAATGTAAAAAAAATTAGAAAAGCAATGACTTCATCATCACTTCATCATCTGGCTCCAGCTCAAACTGGGTCAGCTGGGCCAGCTGTTAAAAAAATGACCCGTCCTGCTGCTCCTGCATTTGCCCCTGGGAGCAGGTGCTCTCCTGGTGGCTGATGAGCTACGCTAGTTAATTAACACCACTCAAGCGTGTACAGCAAAGCACAAAGGACATTGTGTTTATGCTCGTAATCTCAGGACACAGCACAGAAAATTCACACAATAATCAAGCAAAAACATTTTTGCGGGGGAAATAATGGCTGCTACATTTACACAAAACAAGAAAACAAAACTTTTCTCAAGACAGAATGAAGGCTAGTGGAGGTCATCTGTACCCAGGAGGTTAAATTATTAGCTGTAATTTTGAAGTGAGGGTGAAACTTGTCACCATCATTGCTGGCCTCATTGCCAGTGGCAGAGCCAGACAATTCTTATATTGGTAGCCAGACCGAGACCATTACACTCACTGGGTCACCTCCGAAATGTAGTTATTTTTTTTCTGTGTGGCAAAGCCCTCCAGGCCAAAGTGTTCTGGTCAGTCGCTCTTAGTATTTGATTTGGCACTGTGAGGACACATATCTAATAAAATTTTAAAGAAAAATCTGGAACTGTTGTCGGAGCCCATCCATTTTCTTAATCGCTTGTTTACATCAGGGTCACTGTGAGTCCATCACAGGGCAATTTAGAATCACCAGTTTACCTAGCATGCATGTTTTTAGACAGTGTTTCATCTCTCCTGTGAAAGGAAGCCAAAGCACTTGGAGAAAACCCACACAGGTACAGAGAAAACAGACAGAAAAGCTCCTACCTAGCCGGCAGATTCAAACCCAGCACCCAATCTTCCTGTGAGACCCCCTTCTAACCACTGCACCACCCATTTTCTGAAGTTATTTTTTATTTATTGATAAACTAATGTAGTCTAAGCTAATAAGCTAATGTATCCAATGGCCTAGATTATATGTATGCAGTATGTCAGCGGTCCCCAACCTTTTTTGCGTCACGGACCGGTTTATGCCCGACATTATTTTCACGGACCGGCCTTTAAGGTGTCGCGGATAAATACAACAAAATAAAACTAGTACCGGTACCGAAAAAAAGAAGATTTATTCATAACACACATGAAAAGACCCAGGAAAACCGAGTTAACGATAAAAACGATAACAAAAAAACCCTGAAAACCATACATTTCACACCTGAGCCTCAACTCTCGTGGCCCGGTACCGGTCCGAGGCCCGGGGGTTGGGGACCGCTGCAGTATGTAGCATGTATGTATGTAGCCATTTGTTTTTGTTTTTTTGCAGTTACCTTCAGTGTCTATCTTAGCCACTCATGGGTAAAGCATAACAGGACCTAAACGTGTTTGGATAAAGAGGGATTAAGTAGGTTACCCCTCCACTGTACTTCACATGAAAAAAAAGTGTATACACTGTATAATCATCTGCCCAGGAGCAAAGCTAAAGGGTGGCAGATACCATCGATGACACTCTGGCAAACCCCTCTGGTCAGCTCACAAAACAAGCAGTAAAATCCTTCAGGGCTACATGCATACTCCAGCACCATACTCCAGCACCATACTCCAGCACCATACTCCAGCACCATACTCCATCCATCCATCCATCCAATTCAGGGTGGCAGGTAGACAGGCAGACAATCACCCATACCCAAATTTACACCTATGGCCAACTAAGAAACAACCTAATGTGCACGTCTTTGGACTGTGGGAGGGAGATGGAGTACCCAGAGAGAACCCACACAGGTACAGGGAGAACATGCAAAATGTTCATGCTGTGAGGTGACAGTTCCAATCAGTGCACCACCGTGCCACCTCTAGCAAAACATTTTATGCTATTTCTCTGTGATTACTGTTCCCACTTGGATCTATTCTAACAGCTTAAACGCCCCAGAATTACTCTTATGAGCTTTTTAAAAATAATAACCATAAAAAATCCAACTACAAGCGACTTTTGAGGATGACATCCATCCTTCTTCTTAACCAGTTGTTCCAACTTATAGGTCCCTATATAGTCATAGAATTAGAGGTTACATAAAAATGCTTATGACATGCTTATTACATGCCAAGATTGAGTGAGTACAATGTGCCGTGCAGTTTCTGTGGTAGCTAAGTGAAAGTAACCATCACACCCCAATAAAGCTGCCTGTCTCTGCCAGCAGACCTATATTGAAATGTGCAGCAGAGACCATTACAACATGCTTAAGAACATTAGCAAGATGGAGAACAGATATCAGTTAGTGCATAACCTCCAAACCTGGGCGTCTTTTCAAGTGCCGGTCAATAATTGCACACTCCGCCCACATGATCGAGTAGCTGAAATAATTCACCGCAGTCATCCAATAAAGTCATTCGGATTCTTTAATGTTTTTTCTACAAAAATATTTTACATTAGAAAACACAGCTTGAAATATACACAGTCCACTTGGATTGAAGTACCCATGGAACATCTCCATTGAAATATATCTGTGTCTATATTTAAACTGTAGGTAAATATACCAGCAACAATAAACCTGGTTGCTGTTTTGTGAGGTTTTTCAATGATGTCACCAGGAGGAACTTGGGATTGAAGCCGTGAGCTGTAATCTGATCAAAGCAAATATGGACTCACAATCTATCCATATTAATTACAAAAAATACAACAAAGCAGAGGCAAATGCTGCCTCTGATAATGGCAGGGAATGCTTCTGGTGAAAATAACGACTTTGTGTAGATATATGAACATCATTTACTCAAAGAGTGTGGGAGTATAGGTAAAGGATCAAAGCAAGGATAATGGCACTAAGCAACCGTGAGAGAGACTTTCTGCCATGAATAACATTCGTTTGTCTGTTTTCCAAATCCCAGAGTGCCCTTTCCTGCATGTAGCTGTAGCAGGTGGTATTCACCTGCCTGCCTGTTTACAACCTCAAATGCCACTCATCTACCTGTTGCCATCCAGCGTGCCATTTATGCCTGGCTGTCAGGATCCCACAGGGGCCATTCATCTACAAACTATCTACACCACATCCACAGGGCACTTTTTTTTTTTGCCAGGCTGCCTCGATATGTGCCGGGGTGTCAGTCAACTGTCTAACTACAGTATTTATATCCCAGGATGTCATTCTTTACCCTGGCTTGAGCCGTTCTGTGGGGTTTTTATATCAGGTTGCGTAAAAATACTATTTTTCTCCGGGATAGGTGAATCAGAACCCTAAACTTCGCCATCATGTTAACTGCAGTCAGGCTAAAACGAAAGATAAAAAAATAGATTTGACGGACAGGGTTTTGAAAGGCATATAGTAGCCTGGTAGGAAGTTTTACTTTCCAGGCACAATTTTTTTCTTTGGCAAATATGCTTCTTTACTCTCTTGCTGATAGTTAGATGAGAAGATAGGTGTTTAAATATTTATGGCTATGCTGGAAGGTAAAAAAAAACAAAAACATGTCTTGAAGCGAGTAAATGACTTGTAAATGACAAAAACAATGCTAGTTCAATGAGCTTGAGGTCAGCTAGCTATTCCCCTCTTTTCCTGGTCTTTCTAAAGCAAATGTTCTCATCAAACTCTCAGCAAGGAAGCATATTTCTCAAAAATGTCTGTCATTACCAGATTCCATGGTGTCACTTATTAAAATGTTTCTATTTTTTTTTACCACTTCACATCAAACAAATGCCATTCATTATTGCTGTAAACTTGGTGCACATGAAAAAAACAATCTCTACTCATTTAGTCTTCTCAGCGTTAAGCCTTTTTAGCCATTCAAAAACAACAAAAACAAACCTAAAACAAAAAAGATATTACAATTTGTCAAGTACGGCACTAACATTATCATTGTGGATGCATTGATACCTGTCAGGGGTACCTTAGTTTGATAGTATGATACTGGTATGTACATCCCAAACTGCAAGGCGCTTTAGATGACCATCAAATGGCATGTGAAATAAATAACAACAAAAGAATGGTAAAAACATACCAATCAATACTTATATGAGCAGAAATTTCCAGTTTGTACTTTAGTGTGTGTCCACTGGCCCTTCACTAATAATTAAACTCTTGCACCCAGCTTGAGAACTGTGTCCCATGCTTTAGCATCATAGCAGTTCAGAGCGGAGGGCCAGTGACAGCGTCCAGAGTGGCGGCAGCAGCCAGACGGGAGACGGGGATGGGCGGACGCCTAAAGGCGATGCGGTGTCCGAGGTGCAGGAGCACACCTCGTATCCGTTCTCCGCGTGATCTGGGTGATTTTGCACGTTGACTCTCGTCTCTGTGCTTTTGGGCTGTGTGTCCGGAGAGTCCGACTGCATCTCTGTGCACAGCAGCCAGTCCTTTGCAATGAGGCGGGGGTATCCTGCCTCCACCTCCATGTCACTGCCTGGCACTCGCCAGTACTCCTTCCCTTTGAAGAAATAGGACGAGCCTTAAGAGAGAGTGGGAGGGAGGGAGGGAGGGAGGGAGGGGGAGGACACAGGGTTGATACTGTTATATTTTTGGATGTGAATAAACAGAACAAGATCACATGGAGCAGAAAACAATATAATACTAAATCGCACGTAAGGTGGAAAGTTGGCTGCAGTAACTGTGTTAAAAACACAGCAAGTGAATATATGAGCAGGATTATAGAAGTTTCCGTGTGATGTCACTGGTGAAATCCAAAATGACCCACAATGACTTGGAATTTACGAGGAGACCAACAGGAAAAAAAACCCAGTTTTTGTGTTAAAGCCTGCACAAAAGTAATGACTGGAAAATGTTAATCATCCCAAGAAGGAAATGTGCCTGTTAGTTCATACATAATGGGCTATTAGTTCCAGTGATCTGGACAGGGACGCGGATGTTATGAAGGCTGAGGTTCTGCACTAAAAGCTGCAGGAATTAAAAACTGGGAAGGGAGCAAACTGTCTGTTTATTAAGTGCTTGCTTATAATTTTCCAGAAAAGTTAAAAAAAGATGTTCAGAGTTTTAAAAATGTGCATTTGATCAAACGTAAAGATTAAAACCAGCCTTGACAGTTTGTCAGGAGTGAAGCGCTGCCTGTGTGCACTGCTGCAATACACAATGAGTTTTAAGTTTAATGTACAAAATCAAGCATATATCAAATGTATTCTGAGCTAATGATACAAACATAGAAACCAGAATAAACTTAGGGTGGCACGGAGGTGTAGTGGTTAGCAGGCAGTGACCTCAATGCAAGAACATTAAGTTTTGATTTTGAATGTGCCCGTTGGGGAGGCCAATCCATGAGTGATACTGTTGGTATGTTTTTACCGCTCTCCCAGTACATCATTGTTATGCTGAAAAATGAAACTGGTGCCAACCAGACACTTTCCAAATGGTGGAGTACTGAGAGTACTTTTCTACATTCACAATTCCATCAATTTGACAATATTTCCAACACCAGTGGCTGAAATTCAGCCCCAAACCAAAAAATTTGAACATTTGAAAATTGGAATCATCAGTTGTCACTGATTTTCAGTCCAGATCTTGTGGACTCTGCTTCACTTCCTTAAGAAGCACTTTTGGACAGCCATCCTTTCACTGAGACCATTTCTGATGAGGCCTGAGTGAACAGTAGATGGATCAAATGTCTCATATATCTCTTCCTGTTTCTTAAGGACACGACTTTGACATACTGTTCACATTCTGTAGACGGTTTTGTTCAGGACCATTTTTCAGGTCACACTGTACACCACTTTAACCCCACCTGATACACACAAAAGCACAGCTTTACAGAAACCCATACTATACTTTTTGACACACTTGAGACATTTTTCTCAAACCGTGGAGCTAACGTTATGCACCGTTTAACATCTTCCCCACTAGCTGCTTCTCGCTGATATCTGTGTCATGTTAGGTGACCAGAATTACATCAAATGTGATGCACTATGCAAAAAGAAGCACGCATTGTAAGGTGTGATGTAAGGTAACGATCAGCACAATAATGTGATAAGTTTGCCTCCCTCAGACATGCTTCTACAGTTGCTTGGGAGCATAAAATCTGAATCTACTGAGATAGACAAGCGTATAACTGATGTGGCTCCTCGTTTGCTGCTTTTGTCCCCTTCAGCATTGTTCACATCAAGTCTTTTCTCTTTTCTTCTTAGCTCTTAAAAGTGAATTCTTCCATGGCTTGTGTCTCTCCTCAACTCTATTCTCACTGCTGCTCACCATGAGTTATCTTCCCATCTTCTTCGTTTCTCTCTCCTTGCGTCTCTCTTTATCCTATTGGAAACAGCCTAAAGGCAGATAAAAGGCTTTGATGTAGCTTAAGTTTCAATGCCCAAAGGTGTATATAGAGTATACGTGACTGTCTGTGTTCTTGTTTATATAAATGCACACATTCCTATGTGCCCTAACATGAAGCTTTGATTTGCTGGGGCCTTACCTTTTGTGTGATTTGCCTATTGCTATGCACAGCACAGAGCTTGGTGTAGGACCTCTGAAGCTGGTAACAACTCAGATGCAACACAGACCTCTAAACACCTGACAGGGAAAAGAGCTTCCACACATTCAGCTGGGAGTTGCTGCAGGGGAAATCAGTAATGTTGCTCACTCCTGCTGAGAGTGGCCTGAAAAACACAACCAAGTACCTCTGGCTAATTAGCTGTTTTTGTGCCAGTTTTAACTACAACAAGTGCTTAATCAAAGCCTAATATGGACAGCCAAATGGATGACACATTCTTCAGGGGGCTTTGCTTCACAAAGGCTTCCAAAACAATGCAACTAAAAGTAAACATTTTTTTTCTCTACCAGAAAACATTACTGTTTGCTTTTGACCTTTAATAACCATTTAGGAACTTCAAGCAACCCTTTTCCTGCATCTGAGGATCATCTGTAGCTCTGAAGCGTTTGCCTAGTCAAAGCAAATGTCAGGAGCTTGTTAATATAATACTTTGGTGGTGTGATTCTGGAGAACTTTACGTAAATTTTTATCTCTATGATCATGCATAGCTCTTTTAAGGTCCCAGCACAGGATTTTAGGTTAAGGTGTGGACTTTGGGCCATTGCAACACCTTGATTCTTTTCTTTACAGCTAAACTTGTTGTAGATTTGCTAATGTGCTTGGGCTCTTTGTCCTGCTGCTGGTGTTAGATGTTTGTGCTCTGACGCTCTGTTTAATTTTTGCCAAATGTGGTGCTTATGACCAAACATAAAAGAAACAAAGCAACCCTTCCAAACAAATCATGCTTCAGTCTTTTTCAAATTTTACTATCATGAACTTTAACATTTAACACGATTTGTGAGACCTGTAGAGGCTGAGATGTAGCTCCTGGATTTTTTCTGCAGTTTCTGACCTCGGAGTGAGTTTCCCGGGCATTTACTCCTGGGAATATTGGAAACTGTCTTGAATATATTCCACTTCTGAATAACGGACTTCAAGCTGTTTGGAAATGGCCCTATAACCATTTGCAGATTGATGAGTAATAACAGTGTCTTCTCTGAGATCATTACTGATGTCTTTCCTCCTTGGCATTGTGTTAACGGCTGAATGCTCCAGACCAGCAAACTGCTAAAATGTCGGCTTTAATTGAGGTGCTCACACTCGCCGATGATCAATTAATCAAGTGCATCTGATTAGCAGCACCTGGCAGCTACTGACCCTTTTAATCCTATGGCAGTAGTAAGGGTGTACCTAGTGCCTGTAGACTTACATAGCATAGGCTTTGTTTCAGGTTATTATTATTTTTCCATTTCATTATCAAAGCATGGATGTGGTGTCAAAATCGTCTTATTGTTAATTGTCCAACTGACAGCTGCTTTTCTGATTTCATAGTCTTTTACTCATTAAGTCTAATATTATTGTCCACGCATGCTGTTCTGTGATTAAATTCTATCATAAAACGCTTTCTAATTGTGAAAGAAATTTTAAGAGTGGCAGACAAAAACTTTACAGTTTCAATGTGAAATCAAAAACTGCTACTTTTAGAATAAACGTGTCACACTATTCAGTCTACTAGTTAATTTATTCTGTGCATACTACAAACCCCAAAGCCAAAGAAAAGCGTGCATTTCTTTATACATACCCAACACTAAGCACCAGATTTTTGAAAATGAATTCTCTATTTATTAAGATTTTTTTTTCAGTACAAACTAATAATGCCTCATCACAATGGGTAATGCCGCGCTAATGCCAACCATAATTCTGCTGGAAGAGCAGTGAGCTCGCACAAGCTTATATTTTCACGTGTGTGGTTCTTAAAGAAGGTACTCAACATTTTTACAGGAGGTAAAAGACCAGAATGTTTTACAGGCCCAGATGCACACAGTCCATAAACATTACTGACATGGCACATTCAGGCGTGACATGCTCCAGAAATGATCACATTATCCCACCTCCTCGCGTAAAGTTCGCCACTTTCAGAGAAACCAACAGGAGTGTGGGCTCGGGAGGGACACACACACACACACACACACACACACACACACACACACACACACACACACACACAGTATGTATTTGAGCTGTTTTATTTGGTTTAGCAGCCGTTCATTTAAATTTCTGTGTGTAAATATTAGATCAGGCTTTCTGCGATGATTTAAAATTTATAACGACCAAAAAATGACAAAGCTAAAAAGACGCTCGACAGCTATCCTTGCACACAGAGGGCATTAAAAATGAATATCTTAAATGCAAAGTAATCAAACGTTTTTCTTTTTATAAATGAGAGCAGAGACTCCCCATTATTTTGACGATGGTACTGACATTTCAGGAATACTCTGTGACTGATTCTTGTACCAGATTAACCAGCTTCTGGTTAAAACTCAAACAAAGGCAGGCAACGCACGTGTCACAAAAACATCTGACACCTGATATTTATGTCTCTTTGTGTAATACACAGCGTAGTATGAAACACTTATTTTTCATAGTGTCTAGCAAATCCCAATAGTCGCTGAAGCTTGCACTTCTCTGCAAAAACAAGCACTTCTGACTTGGTTAAACATTAAGTGGAATGATGCTTTTTGGTAATATGCTGAGCTATGACTGGGAAAAGGTCATCGGTAACTGTTGATGACTATTTCAAATAGCTGTCAAGTGACTCTGAAGGGTTAGTGGCTAACCATATGTCATAAACACTGGGAGCTAATTTGGGGCGGTTAGCAGAAAACAATACCTCTGTTGTCTATCCAGCATGGAAATAGAAAATGTCACAGACCATAATCGCATTTTGGAACTGGACTAATTATCTACAAACAGAAAGCAGTGCCCGTGCTGCTGCAATGAAACATTTGTCATGCTCAACAACTCGGTGACAACTGTTGAGCACTTACACTCTCAAAAGATTGGAGTACTGGCTGTGGCCAATGAGAAAGCCAGTAAGTAAAAAAGAAGTGCAGGCTGCTGTCTATGTGAGGACGGCACGCACACTCAGAACAGCGCTTAAGTGGTCACTCTCCTACAAACTCTTATGCTACATTCACACTAGTGAAAATAATAGCTGGAGACCAGGGTGTGACCAAAATCCCTGCGACTGTGTGCAATGACCTTGCAGTCTCGTCCCTTCAAAGACAAGGACCAGGTGTATGACCACTCAGACTCAGCTGCTGTCCTTCAAGCGACTTCGAGTGATGATATGACAATAAACTGTGTCCCTTAAACAGTCCGCAACGACCTTCCAATCTGTCCACATTCATAAATTAGATGGAAATAATTTACAAACATTCACTAATTGAGAGTTAGTGCAGTCAGTCTGAGTCAGTCACCTGTGAGTCAAGAAACTCACAGGTGGTGTGTTCCCATCACAAGATGAACAGTAGTTAAGAGTATTTTATCGACTGTGAGTATGTGCATTCTGGCAAAATGATAAATCACACAAATTTACCAAATGCTAAAACTGCAATAATAAATTCCTATCATAAAGAAAATAATATAAATCTGAAAGAATTAATAACACAGATGTAAATAAGGGAAAGAACCTGAGCACTCTGTTTAAGTGATGAGTGGTTATTTATGATTCTTAAATGCCAAAGATGGCTGCTGCATGACACATAGTCTTCTTCTAAATTACAGCTGAACTGGGAAACATAATCCAGCCAATCGTGTTGCTAATCACACACAAGTGTGGAATAAATCACTGCTGACAAAAACAAAGCATCCTCTAGGATTTTTTTCCACCAGCATATGTTACAATCCAAAGTTCACTAAGCTAATTTTGTCTGTATGCAGTGACACAGCCAACAGATTTTACACAATTGCTTCTTAATTAAGACTTAAATAAAATGTGTAGGCATACACGAGATAAGTAAAATAAATTAAGATGTTCAAATCAAAAACTAACATCAAGTAAAAAACTAAACGTGCCGTAAAAAATGCAGGATGTTACTAGTCTGAGGAGATCAGTAGAGTGCCTATTTACATGATTCCCTTAGTGCACTTCTGTGTTTATGCTGTGTATACTGGTGTTTGCGTGTGAGACAGAAAGAGATCTTGTTTCAGTGATAAGAGGGCTTACCAGGGCGGCCGATGGCTGTAGAATAATAACTGATGTTGAACTGAGAGCTGATGCAATGAGGGCAGTCTGTGAAATGCATGGCTGCCCAAACGAGGTAAAATCAACAGTGCTTCCCTTGCCTTCTTTCACACTCTACCTCCTTTCAAGTATTTTAAAGAAGACGAACAGAGTGACTGCTCCAAAGATAAACTCTACTTTCATCTTGGAGCAGCAGCAGCCAGAGCGGCATCAGAACACGGATCTGCAGAAGAGGATCGACAGCATGATGGTGATTTTGCTGCGGCTAATGCAGCACGAACATTCTCAGCTGGAGCTTCTTGATTAAACCGGAGATCCTGTCATCCCTTCTTGGCCTTTTTTCAGATGGTTTGTTCCCAGCGTATCTGACCATGTCCACCGAGCTCACAGTGGCAGCACTGATTACTTGAATCTTGTGGATTCATAACAGCCAACACAACTCTACGCTGTGTTTGCAGTGTAAAGGTCAAGGCTGTTTCCGGCAAGCCGGGATGCCTGCCTCGCGAGCCGTTTCTGGTAGCCTGGTTCAGTGTCTGTAATCTAAAAAGTTTGTTGTCTGGAAACTTCAGCAAGTAACATCCAAAAGGTCCGTAGACAAGGGTTTACATTACATTTACTATAACCCCAGCTCACCTTTTATGGGGCTCTGGCTCCTTGTTGTGGTGTATCTGTAAGTCACATTTTCGTGTACAGTTTGTATGTGAATGTGAGATTTTGTGTAGATGAATGTGCGTGTCTGTTTACTTTAATCATTAAAAACAAAAGTTTGAACATGTGAGCATGGATTTATTTTTTGAAGGGCTGATCTGCTTTATAAAACATATCACTGTATGTATTTCTCCAAATCTCCCAAACTCCACGACTCCAGAACGATGCACAGAATAATGCAAATGTTCCCTGAGTTTCAGAGCCCCTCTGGAGCCTCTAAAAGCTCTTTAAGCCTCTCTTTTAAAAAACATCTGAAAAGTATTCACAGCACTTCACTTGTTCCACATTTTTCATGTTAAAGCAAAACGGATTTAATTTGTTTTTTCACCTCAAAATTCTGCACACAATACTCCATAGTGACAAAGTGAAAAAATGTTTGCTTGATATGTTAATAATAAAACTAAAAACCAAAGATTTAAAATAGAAAACAAAATGTATAGACAGATGTGTGCATCTCCAAATCGTCAGTCAAGTTGTCGAAACATCTGATCAGCAGACACAAGGATGCACCTGAAGTCAACTTTAAGTGTCATGGCAAAGAAATCATATATATATATATATATATACATATATATATACATATACATACATATATATATATACACATACATACATATATATATATATTATTTTTAATAAATGTGCATGAATCTGAATTTTATTACACCATATTAAATTAAAGATAAATGAATTCATGTTTTTATACTTGGCAAACTGGACTTCTCTGAAAACTCTAATTAATTTAATTTATATGGCACCAAATTACAATAACAGTCACCTCAAGGTGCCACAATAAAAATGACCTACGATAAGAGGAGTAATCTGATTGTTGAGGAAACACAATCAGATTACATTAATAAGCAAGCTCTTGGCGACAGTGGGAAGGAAAAAGTCCCTTTTAACAGGAAGAAACTTCAGGCTGAAGGCGGGGCGTCCATCTGCAGCGATGACTGGGGGATTTTCTATTCGAGAATACAAGTCAATAACTGTAATTTGACATCTTAATATAAAAAAGTTCGATGTTGCGTTTTTTTTAAAGCTTTTTTATAAAACAATTTAGTCTTAAACCTTGTGCGTACTGGTGGATTAACCACTACAGTAACAGTGAGATATATATGTATATATTTTGCTGTGTCATTCAGTGATTTGTTTTATTGAAGTACTGATTATACAGGCAGCAAGCCAACTTCTGTCAATTTGATGAAAAGTCATACAAATAAACATTGGTTTTTATGTCTACTCACCATCAGACCACCTCATGGCATCATCCAGGTGTGGAGGCAGCCCCTTCCATAGTGAGCTGTCTTTAGGGTAGCCCAGGTCCATACGTCGCAAGTGGTCATCGTAGCGCCAGTAGCGGTTGTCCTTAAAAAAGTAGGTTTTGTCGTTGTGCAGCCAAACAAAGACGGCGTCCACTCCTTCCAGTGGCAAGCCAAAGTCACTGATTGGACGAGGGTAACCCTCTTCTACATTATTGTCTTTAAAAACCCAGTATTTTAAACCTGAGTGATGAACACAGAGGTTAAAATCAAACCTTTGATATGATAGGATGTATCCACACAATTACAAACTAAACTAAATGAAACAAACAAGCAAAAAAAAAACTTGTGAACACACAGACTGAGTAATCGAATAAAGTTACATAGATTTACCTTTGAAAAACACGATTTTGTGGTCCCCTGGTCTCTCGTACACAGCATCCACACTGTCCAGATTAGGAGGAAGGCCCCTCCAGAAACGATGAATCTGAGCAGGACGGAGAGATACTAGGTGCTTCTCTCGAGTTAGCCGCCAAAAATACTTCCCTATGATGGACAGAAATAGCAAGTAAAGATCAATAAGAACTTCTTAACAATACTCTGCAGGATTTATTTAGAAGGAAAGCCACAGAGTGTGCTGTATCTTCAGTAGTCACATCACAAATGCTAGCTACTCCTTCAATTTGGCTAATTAACAAACTCAGCACTTTTTACCTTCTGTTGATTCTTCTGGAACTACTTTGATAAACCAGTTAGCAGCACTGGAAATTGAAAAATTTGGCTTGAGTTTAGGAGGAAAACAATTTATTATCCAGTTGAGCGTAGCCAAAAAACATCATGTATGCTTATGAAAAATGAAAGAGAAAACAAAAATCAAAAATGCTGCTCCACTGATTTTTCAATATACCATACAGACTGGCTAATGCCCCAGAAACATCACTTTTCATGCTTAGTAGATTCAGTTCATCAACCAGTTTGGGCTTCATTTTCTTTGGACTGGAGAATTTGTGATAGTGTGTAAGCCTTTTATTCAACCTCATAGAAACACACATGACTTGGCTTCCTGTTGATTGCTGGCGCCACCGCTCGGCCCCACGCCCAGCCTCACTAACTTCACCATATGTTCTTAACTCATGTTTTTCGCCACATGTTCAATGTTGCACATTGAACTGCAACAACAATCAAAACCCAGTTCATCCAGGAAAACACTTTTTCTCCATATCTGACGTTGGACAATAAAGTACACTCTCCCTTTAGAAGAACGGCGAGGCTTCCTTTGATCTTTAAGTGGAATCGCCGGTGGACCATTCACTAGCGGTTCAATTTAGATTCATGGAGTTCAGTTAATGGCTTCAGACACTCAGGCAATGGCAGGGGAATTACTGTAAGAAAATGCAAGCGAGCGAGCGAATCAGTTTGAGACTCTAAGAAAGGACTCTCCAATCAAGATGTGCGGCTGCAAAACTACAAAACAGACACAGTTTGATCTTGAAGAGACACCAAAGTGAACCCAAAGAGCCCTAAAATGACAGACCTACAAAATACTCTCAGAGAGAAAAATAAGGATGACAAAGAAACACAAAACAACCGCAAAGAAATGTAAAATAAATCCAGCAACAAAGCGACTCCTCGACTGTTGGAGTGCTCAAAATGAGAGCTTTGGGGCTTCAGACTTGCCTTCATCTAGTAGGCCATTTGTCATATACCATTTCCTTTGTTAATTTTTTATTTAATTTGTTTGGTCAGTATGCAAATATGCATTTCTTATGCAGAGGACTCAGTTAACTTGCAGAAGACTTCTGCACAAGACCCTCACAAATGCAAACATAATGTCTTCTCGCAACTTCAACTTGATCTGAAAATATCTTCAAGGTTTTTGCTATGTGCGAGTTCTAAGAGGAAACCAGCAACAGCCCTTTGGGTACTGTTACAAACCAAGGAAAACTAAGAAAAGAGCATGTTTTAAAAGCTGCTCTGTGTCCATCTTTGATAAGCGTAACTTCAGATCTCCATATTTGGCCATTTTTAAGAATAATAACAAATTAGTTTTACTGTATTAAATTATTTAACCATTTGTTGGACTGGGAAGGTTGTATCCTGCAATCATAATTACACACACACTCTGACTTTCTCCTTTCAGATTTGAATACCTTTGAAAAAGAAGGCCTCCCCTCGTATTTGGGCCACGGCATCAAAGTGACTGGTGCATCTGTCTGGAGCATCCCGTGCCAGTCTGAGTGAAAAAATAAGAAGCAGAAAAAAGAAATGACGACAAAAGATGGAAAAGGTTGTAGTAAAGAAGTTACTACAATTACAATCATATTCGCTACTATGCCGCATACCCGCTAGACATAAAACATAAAGGAACCCAAAACGATCCAACCGAGTTGCAGCTGTTTGCATATAGAAAAATGTCACGATCGTACTCATCTAATGAGAAATGTTCTGAATGTGTGCACAAATGTGCATGTTATGTGCTTTAATTAAATGGGCTAAATATGAGGTGAAATGCTGTCACACTGAAACGGTGCGGTCTTTCAGAACATTTATCCCACAAGCTAATAAGTGATTTAAAGCACTGACGTGGTCAGCCTGCCAATTATCAAGGCAAGAGCACTACAGACCTGCCACTGTGAGTGGGAGGGCGAGAGCTCTCCTGTTATCAACAAAGATCTCTATTCAGAGCTCTTTTAATGAAACTCTGCTGCCTAGTGGTCAGCATTTGTGACCCTTGGCAAGCATGATATAGCTTTTCCACGCATCATGATAACATGGAGTGGGTGAAAAGTGAGTGATGAGGACAGTGAAAGGCCAATATTACTGATGGAAAATGGGCTTCTATTCTGCCTTGGTTTCAAAATGCTTTTAAATTGTGTGTATGCATGGAGGTCAGGAAGCAGCGGGTAGCAGGCAGGTTTCAATATAGCATGAAACGTAAAATCTAGCTAAAAGGGCTAACAATTAAAACATTTATTCTTTATTATGGACTATAGCATTAGTTTAAATGGTTAAATAATGTGCAATTTATTATGCAATAAGAATAATATGCAATATAATGACCACATCTGGAACACGATATGTTGTGCTGTTGAAAGCACTAAATTGGCAGGGCTGTGAGAAACAGCTTTTGGAGGTAGCAAGCGGCTGTTTTTACTTAGTTTTGCTTTTCTGGGTGAATCTATTGGGGACGTTTATTACACTTTCCACTCCAACATCTTTAGTGCAGTGAACAGAAAGACCCAAGGGGGCTTGTAAAAAGAATAAACCACAATTTTGTGTTTGTGTGTGTGTTTGAGAAGGCCAGAAAAGCAGAAAGAGAGAAGATGAAAGGTTGAAGTGTATCATTTATGTGTTAGGCTACCAGAATCATTAAATTATTTGCACTGTGCTGAAAGCACACCAGGTGTCCTACTTACAGGAGTGTGGATCTGTTTTCAGGGAGGTCCAGTAGAACAGGAGGTTCAGCTGTCTGGGAGGGGTTTCCTGGTCGATTTGTATGGGAAACTGAGTCTCTGACACCTGAGAGAGATACGTGTGATTTCATTTGAAGAGGAAAAACAAAACGTGGCAAAAAATTACATTGTTTTATTCCTTCATGTAGGAAAAAAAGATCACTTATATTGTCACATAAAAATCATCAATTTCCAGAAAGAATTGAACATTTTGCACATTTTTAAAAATTGCTTGCTCAGTTGTTCATCTTTTGTACGTGTTTCTTTTATTACAACCAAATATAGCAGTCTTGTCTTAGTGTCTGTCTATCTTTAATTTAGTTCAATTCATTCTCCTCCATTCTGTCCCGTCCTTTAACATTCTTTCCTGCACTTCATTCTCAGCTCATGATCATTAGTCTCCCCTCAGCTCACTGATACTCTGTATATCAGGGAATGGTGTGATAAGGTCATATGCCATAAAGAGGTCCAATTAACTCCAGCCACGTTTTCATTAATCAATAACAGTACTCTACACAACTTGTCAATCCTTTTCTGTTTCAGTCACACGCACACACACACACACCGATATGCAGAGGGAATGGAAACCTCATACCATAGAGCTGCCAGACTCTGACTTTGTCTTCATAGGGTAGATCATATTTCAGCGGGTCTCCCACGGGACCCTGGTAGTATGGTCTCATGATAGACTCTATGGCTGATGTGTGCACCAGGCCGATGGCATGACCGAACTCATGGACTGCGACTGCAAACAGATCCATCCCATGAGATTCTAAGGCAGACACAGAAAGAGGGGAACACTCATTAGCCTTACATGCATATCTGACTTTTTTTGGTCTCATACCTGCTCAAAGTGGACAAGACTGTGTGAGACTATTAAAAACCTGCATTAGTAATGATGCACATTAGAGGTCGGTACAGGAATAAAACATAAAGACACACTTCTGGAAACTATTCTTAATTTATTTAAGAGAGAACTGACTTCAATCAAAGAAGTAGCTGCACACAAGTATTACTGCTGCTCTTCACCACGGTAGAAAGATTAAGCCACAAGCATGACAAGAAAAGTTACCTAAGAAACACCTTCTCGTTCCTTTCTTTAAACATTTCAAAACTAACCTGCGCTCTTTTTAGGGCAGTAAGAGAAAACAGCGGTGTTATCAATGTGAAACTGTGACATAGCAGAAAACTACTATATTCTTCTCTGCAGTTTAACCATAGCTTGCCTGTATCACCTCCAGCTTTGATTGAGATCACCTAGCTGCTTAAAGATTTTTGTAAAACCCGTATAGCCACTGTTTGCGTGTTTATCCCTTTTATGAGTGAACTCTATAGGTTGCAAGTTAAGAGGCGTGACAGACAGCTCCTGTGGCTGTGAGTGCTGTTAGGAATGTGGTGCAGTGAGATAACTATGGTAATACTGCCTGAGCCCCTGGGCTGCCAATCAAATCCTAAGTGTGGAAAGACACCCAAAGAGGCTGCAGGCTATTAAAACACATTTCCCTGGATGTTGAGCTAAGAGGAAAAGGCAACGCTTCCAAAAACTCCTTGTTTGGCTCTGCTAAGCAAGACAAAACCTGGTTTTTGAGATTTAGATTCGCAAAAATGTGAGTGCGTGCGAGTCGAGCCAAGCTAGCTTAGAGTTCCTCGGTGACTAGGATCAAATCAGCATTCTGTTAACCTTATGTTGGCCTCGACTTGGGAACGTCTTAGCGCTGTGCTCTGTCAAAAGACAAAGGACAATTGGAGAAGTGCACTTGTGCTTGCTGCACCTGGGATTTCCAGAAGCCAAATGCCAACTCTAATCTACATGAGCACAAGGTGGAGAGAGGGAGTGTGGATAAATGAAAGGATCGAGGGAGAAAACAGGGATTCAGAACAAAGTAGGCACCATGTCATCGCATTTACAACCCATCTGAGGTTGACAGACAAAAAAAATGCTCGTGCCTGTGGACAAAGAGAGATTTACGTGGATGAATAAGACTTATTGAGTTAGACTCCCATGCCTGGAAAAAAAAAACAGACAAAAAAAGAAAAGAAAGTAAGCACAATAACATCACTGACAACAATTTGTGTAATTCCAGGTTATTATAACATAAAATATTTTTTAAAAAAGTGCTACTACTTTAATGCACAGTAAATACAATGCAATAAGGTACAATACTCTCTTGGATATGACATGATGAGTCCAGAATGCTGCAAACATGGCCTGCAGCATTTGGTTAAAAGTTTAATAAGAATGGTGTAACATAAGGTAGACGGAAAGAAACAAGTACACAACTAGCCAAGGGCTATCCTTTTCATCTGGCGCCAATCCATGCGCTATTATGACCTTGCATTACCTTGTGCCAATCTGGAATCGGTTTATACAGTGCTTAACAAATTTATTAGATCACCACCCAGTGTAAGGTTTACGTCACAGCTGCTCTAATGTAGTACTGCCAACTACCAAAATCTTTCTTTATGTTTCTGTAATGGTGAATCCACCAGTACGCACCAGCTCTTTAATCAAAAAAAATAATTATTGTTGCTATCTATGTTTTTTTTTTCTAATTTACTGTAAGAAAAAAAATAGTTTCAGTGGTTGAATTTTCAGTAATCCAGTACTTTTAGTTTTAAGCAAGTGTTTTAGAGGTTTTCTTTAACAGGGTGGTCACTGTATATATTTTTGAATACAAATGTTTAAATTACACATTTGTGTTTAAACTTGGTTCATGTGGTAAATTAACGAAAGGTGATGATTCAGAAGCTCCTGAGGCCTTTTTTTCTATCAATGATTTTTATAACTGATTTCTTAAACTAAACAAATGATGAACTACATGCTTTTTCAAACTTGTAACACTCAGAAACAAAACGTCTGTCTGTAAAAGCAGTTTATTACAACCTTTAATTGCAACACCATAAAAACAGTCTGTTTAAGGAAACACAAGGCAGTGCCCACGGTTGCAAGAACTTGGGCTTTCTCACAAAAGACTATTGTTTGTTTCTTATCCACACTCGAAATTACACCATTTAATGTAATAAGTCTATTAATATAAACTTGACTATGAAGGCAACTCTGGGGATTTCCTAACCTAACAAAACTCCTTGCAAATCACCAAACACAGCTTAAAAATAATTATAAAGTATTCACTGGCGTGGCGCTGAGGGACGGGCAATTAAAGATGGTTTAAGGTGAAGGACTTCCTAACATCAAGGCATTCCTATTGTAAATGTTGGAATCTATGCAGAAGTACTTGTGTATTGGATCAGAGTTTTTATACTTCATCCAAAGTCTTCTGGTAACATTCAACCCACATATTTTGCTTCTGCATCTTTCCCCGACTGACTTTCTATCTAGAACACTGGAAAGTATACTAAAGGCCTAATTTTCTGCAGTACTCCAGTGCAACCTCTCGTTGCTAAAACCCAAATAGAAAGCTGATCAAACTTGACATAAATAAATAAACTTTACTTTTTAGAACTCTGTGAAAAAGTGTCCAGAGAAGCAAACTCACATTTTTAAGTATTAATCAAAGTTTCGTGAACCCCGCTGAGCTTCCAAAGAAGGAAAACTAGACAGAAGTAAGATTCTTGTACTGTAATTTAAAAAGCATGCCCAACTTTTCATTTGGAAATCAAAATCTGTTCCGAGTGAGACGTGTGACAAAAATAAACATGTAATGGTGACACGGTTTCGAAATGACCTCAATTATATCTTTGGATTACTCCAATTTCGTGCTACTAGCCTCCAAAGATAATCAGTGTAATAATAATATTGCTCTCAATGTATCGGGTCAGGCTCTATTAATAAATGTAACTCTGCCTATCCCATAATCAGCATTTGGAGACAATACTTCTTCTGAGCTGCAAAGTGTATGCAAAGAGCTATTATATGATGTCAAAATTAATTGTGAGAAATGGAGATCTGCATCAGCTCCTTTGTGAATATTTAGTGAGCTAAATTAGGCAAGCTGGCAGCTGCGCAAAAATGATCCTTTATATTAAGCAGGCCGAAGAGCTGCTATACAAAACTGTTTAATCAATACATTTTCAGATTGTAACAAAACGCAGAAGCAGAAACATCTGGCTCGCAGACATGAGTGACTAAACACAGAGTAGAAGAACTGGAACAACATGCTGGTACCTTAAATATTCTTTTACGGTAGTAAAATAATGACAGATTTTGAAATGAATTCCATCCATCCATCTATTTTCTTCTGCTTATCCAATTCAGGGTTGTATGTGGGCTGGAGCCTAGTCCAGCTGTCTTAGGGCGAAATGATTGGTGGCAAAAAGGGATCACCCGCTACTCTTTGGACCAGGTTATATACAGGTTATAGAGGTAATGCAAGTTAAGAGGGTTGCAGTGAAATTTCATATACGATACACTGAGAATTTTGAATTATATGTGGAAATATAAAAAGTAGGTAAACGTTCACAAAAAGTGATATGAGATTTAAAACTCAAATGGAGGTCAAGATTCTCAGAGGTGGTCTATTAAGAGGAAAATGTAGTGACTGGCCTTCTTAGTAAATGAGCTGTGGCCGATTACCACAGTGTCAGGTTTGCCAGGATTGAGATGGTGGAAAGTTAAACAAATCCACTTTGTAAAAAAACCCAAATGCAGAAAAAAGAAGCCAAACAGTCATGAGAGAGAAGTAAAGCTTCTCACATAGCAGTGGAAAGAAAGTTAAGCAGATGGCCTGATATCACTTCAAATTAAAAATGAAAAGGTCCAATGATTGACCTTTAAAGGTATCCCACCTGGGAGAGAGATGAAGCAGAAGAAGGTATCGAATCATTATCATGAATACTAAAATGTCTGTCAGTGAAATATGATAAAACTGAGTGAAGTAGCAGAAATGCCAGGTCCAGTTAAACTTTCTCTAGGCTTAGAATCGCACGATCAGTGGTGTCAAAATCAGAAGTTAGAAATGTGCTAAAAGGGGGAGGGAAAGACTTAAATAATCATGTATGCACCCAGAGGAAACTGATTGATTAATTGATAAGCCAGCGAATGCAGAGGAAATAACAGGAAGGAGACCTATTTAACAAAGAAGTATTTAACAAATCTTGTTGAAATTGTGTCCTTGGGGAAAGATGATGGGTGCACTTAAGTAATTATATCTTTGAGATCTCGTGGGAATTGGATTAAACTCAGACAACAGGACAAGGCAGGTAACTCATTCAGAGGGATGAGCTCCAAGGTGGGAATCTGCAATAAGATCTTGCCAACAGCAAAACTGAGAAAGTTGTCCCAGGCATCGTAAAGCATGACTAGCACAAGGATTCAGGACCAGCTTAATAATACACTACAGTATATTCTGATGAAGAGAACGGTTAAGCGAAAAATACAAATTTTCTCCTGAGAAAAGTTATTAGCAGACTGCTGCCAAAACACAATATGTTCCCATTTATTTAGCAGATTCCATGAAAAATGGTAAAGATTACAATTAAAGGCAATTTTGCAGACATAAAATAGTATTTTTGCATCAACAAGGGGATTCCCGAAGCACTATTACCCAAAAACTTAGCATATCCTGGCATGGTGTGCTTTGGGTTCTTTAAGATTTTGAGGAAATTGGACTAGTGGGGGACAAAAGAAAAATTGCAGGCCTAAAAACCAAAAACCTACAGCAGATGAACACTACCTCAAAGTCCTGTCCTTAAGAAATCTTCCAAAGATCTGAGCATAAGAGAGACATCGGGCCCTTCAGTTTATCTTCAGAAAAGAAATGGTCTCAAAGGAAGGGGTGCTGCCAAGAAGCCATTATTAAGGAACCAGGGAGGGAGGGCTAAGGTGTGCCACATTACACAAAGAACAGGACTAAAAATGAGTGGCAACAGATAAAAATTTTGACAAAAAGACTTTAGCACAGTCTTGTACGATGTCAACGTTAACTTAATAATAACTAATTAATGAATGACTTTGACCCGTTCTATGCGTGGCTCATTCGGGACAAAGAAGGGAGATCCACACAGAAGCAACTTTACCAGGGTGCAAACTGACAGAAATGCACCAGCCTTCTGCGAAGAGGGAGACCGGCACCTTGGAAAGAGACCACCTTATACAGGCATCAAAACAGGTGAAGTCTCTTCTTTAATGGATAGCAGGAGGAGGTGTTAATGAGGACCTGAACAAGAAGAAACATCAAGGCTGTATAATCCATAACCAACACCCACCCCCCCTACAAACAGGGTCTTTGGAACATGATACTCGTGAAAGTACGTCAGCCATCACATTATCTCAATGTAATGTTACATTGGCTTACAGCTAATATAAAAGGCCGAAGGAACGACAACCAAGCTACCAGTTGCTGTTTCATATGCTGTTAATGGGTGATGATCTGTATGAACAGTTACTGGCAGTGATGATCTAACACACACTTCAATGCCCAAATAAGTGCCACTGTTTCCTTCTCGACCACTGAATAGTTAAGCTGCTGCTGGCTGAATCAGCGTGAAAAGAAGCAGACGCCAAGGCCGAGGTGTCACTCTCCTTAAATCAGCTTTATTTTACAGTTGTTTTAGCTTCTTGACAGTAACTACCCAGCACCGCACAGTAAACAGGCTCAAAGTTAATGACCACCTGTTGAACATAGTGGAGCATTTAGCAGTTAATGAGACAGACATTTCCCCGAGGATGCAGGAAGAGAGAATATTGGGTTTATTGTTGTCAGCAGAGTATATGATAATGTTGCTGTTTTTTTGTCTGACAGGAGAGCAAACAGGCCAGCTGTTACCTAAAATATTCATAGTGATATTTCATCAATATGTTTAACAGTTAATTTAGGTTTAACAGAAAGTAAAAAAAAAAAACCCCAAAGCATAACTCAGACTGAGAAGTTAAAGCGTCGGCGTATTCAGCACGTCACTTATTACCTATAAAATGGATTTTTATTGCTGTAAAATGAGCTGAGTGTCAGACTTTAGATTACTAAAGTTTTGCAGTTAATTTAAAATGCAACAGAAAGAACAAGCACATTTGAAATTCAATAATTTCTAATCATCTTGGTCTAGAAGTGCTAAAGTGCTTTAAGGAATTTAAGTAGACAGTAAAAAAAATAAAAGCAGCATTTACACAAACCTGAATTCTGAGCAAACTTCATTAAAACATTGTAAGCTGCAGCGAACGGGATTTTCTTTGGCACTGGTTGGCCATAAGACACTTTCCCCACTTTATGGAGTACAGGCGAAGAAGAAGAGGCAGATGCCTGATTACCAAATGAAAGAGTCTGATGTGATTTTTTTTTGATGTACATTTCACCCTTCATCACAGGCAGTGAAACACTAGCCTTGAAGGCTGGAACATCTAACAAGGTAAGATGATTCACTGCCAGCATCTTTTCTCTCCTGCTCACAGTAAGAATCTGTGTTTTTAACACTAGTGCGGTCTTCCATCAGGCCGTCACCACTGCTGAGCAATTCGTAGCTGGAAGCACGAGTCTTTGCACAGAGAATTTTATTTGCTTAAATTACCTCTTCTAAGTCAGCGTTTGTCTGTGTAAGACAATTGTGTGGCTTGAAGAGATCAATAGAGGTCATGAAGACAAGAGCGCTCCTCTGATCCCTCTTTTCTTTAGCAACCTGCTCTCATTAATCACGACCACATTGACCCAGACGATGCTCTGAACTCCTGGAGCATCACGTCATCACGACACTGATGCAGGCTGTTGGGAGATGTAATTGAAGCAAAATGAGTTGCGGTAACATATGTTTCCTAGTTTTAGGGCAAAAGCAAACAAAGAAATTGAACTATCACCCTGCCTGCAGACTTGGACTACGTGTCTTTATCGATTGGGTTTTTGTCTAAATTAAGTAGTCAATATATTTTTATTTGACAAGGAAATTGCATTATATAACAATCACAATGGATTGTTTCAAGGAGCTATCGCACTAATACCACATCTTCAGGTGTTTCTTTTTTCAAAAGAAAGGTTTAGTATTTTGGGAAATACGATTCTGTGAGCATTATCATCTCATCTAAGGCAAGAAGGCAAATAATACTCGCAAAATGTCAGACATTAGAGTTTAAAAATAAACCACATTCAAAATGCATATAAGTGTTATTGACTGTGCATGCATAAATTGGATTTAGATTCTTTTTTTTAGCCATTTTTAGTTCAAATTTAGCTATGCTTCTTATTTTGCAAGCACATCCTGCAGTTGACTAATAAATATAAATAGTTTACAAAAAGTAAAAGTAGAAGGTATTGCCTTTGCCCTATGAAATGGAGCGGAATAGAAACCCTTCAGTAGAAGTTAAAGACTATAAAAATGCACTTCCACGCAAAAGAGCATGCCCACAACCCTAGAAATCTCATCTCTGTTTCATTGCGTCGCAATTACTCTTTCATCGATTGTCATTGGTGCAGCTGTTAGCTGACATCACAAATTATAGTGGTGCTTTGTGGTCTGGTGGAGACATTTATTTCAGCTTCTGATCGGCACAAATCAAAAGGAAACATTTTGCTGTCGGCTAAAATACTTTAATCACCCTAAATATGGTGCTATTTCCCTCTGGTCTTTTAAATTTAAAGACTCAATTCTTGTAAAAAAAAAAAAAAAAAAAAAGAAGCCCCATGGCATAGTAAAATTAGATCAATAAATGTCAACAGTGAACAATAAACGGCTTGTGCTAATTGCTGAAAAAAAACTGGTTTCCTCGGTTTGGGTAGGACATTGGAGTGGATTCTTTGTTTGTGGCGGTTGGAAGAGATGAAAGAAGGTCTTTTATGCTTCCTAACAAGCTTCTGAAAACAGTCAATGCTGCTGTAGTCACCACACTGAAGCCACAGCATGTTATATTCTTAGTTCGAACAGATAAAATATTGATAATACAATCTGGAACATGAATAAAAGGTAGGAGGCGCAGCTTGGTTCCAAAGTACAAGTACAAAGTACAGCAATCTTGTTTTGAATACGAAAACCTTGGTGAGTATGGAAGTTCAAAACTATTCTCAAGCACTTTTCATTTTGTTAAAGTTTTGTTGACGCAGACCGTTTCAGGCTCTTTATTTCATAGTACTCTGGAAGTGTCTCACAGAAACAGATCATCCTTCAGTTTTTTATGTTCTTTTCATTCAGGCACACTCTTTAAGCAATACAACTCACCGGCCATGTTGTTGGCTTCAAGTGCTCATCAGTGTTTTATTGCAAATATCTAATCAGCCAGTCACATGGTCGAAACTCAGTGCATTTATTCGTGTAGACATGGTCAAAAGGTTTAAATTAAGTTTCAGAATAGGGTTGAAAGGTGATATAAGAGAGTTTGAACGTAGCACGGTTGTACTTGTAGGGTTTACAGAGAATGGTTTGAAAAAGGAGAAAATATCCAGTGAGCACCGTTCCTGTGGGTGAAAATGCCTTGTTGATGCCAGTTGTCAGAGTAGAGTGGTCAGTCTGCTTCGTGCTGTTGGGAAAGCAACAGAAACTAAAATAACTACTCCTTATGACCAAGGTATGCAGAAGAGCATCATGTTAAACACTGAAGCAGGTTGGGTACAGCAGCAGAAGGCCGCATTGGGTGCAACAGCTTGCACGGGCTCACCAAAATGGGACAACAGAAGGTTGGATAAATGTTGCCTGGTCCGACGAGTCTCAAAATCTGCTGTTATCTCTGGGTGGTAGGTTCAGAATTTGGCTTAAACAACATAAAGGCTGATTATGCCTATCCCATATCTCTGAAACTGGTCGTGCAACATGTAGCACCTGTATAAAAAAGGCCAAAGCAGACTGTGCTTCCTCAGGAGGCTGAGGTCTTTCAACATCTGCAGGAAGCTCCTGAGGATGTTTTACCAGTCGGTGGTTGCTGGAGTACTGTTCTATGCTGGGGGAGCAGCACGGCAAACAAGGACTCATCCAGGCTGGAAAAACTAATCAGGAAGGCTGGCTCTGTGGTCGGCATGAAGCTGGACACTCTGGTGACAGTGGCAGAGAAAAGGACACTAAAGAAACTGCTGGACATTATGGACAATGCTGGGCATCCTCTGCACACAGTCGTGAATAATCAGAGGAGCCTATTCAGTAATAAGTTGCTTCTCCCAAAGTCAAGAACCAACAGACTTAAAAACTCCTTTGTCCCACATGCCATCAAGCTGTTTAACTCCTTGTTGGAGGAGAGCGGGAGGGGAAACAGGGGGACAAAGGAGGGCGGGAACAACTCAGCTTTAGTGCTTTTTTTCACTGTGCAGTATTCGTAATATTCTTTCTTATATTCGACTGTGCAATAATCACTGTGCAATAGACTCACTCAAATGTGCAATCCACTGGTATTCCTATTTATCCCTATTATATATTCTGTATTTATATTATGTGGTATATTTATGCTTATATCCTTTCTCTCATTCCCCTTTATTGTATCTGTAACATGCAACCTCTGCTGTGCTACTGGAAACAGAATTTCCCGGAGGAACCCACCCGAGGGATTAATAACGTTTCATCTAATCTAACCTAATCTAATTAAGACTGCAGTGTGCCCATCTTCTGATGGCTACTTCCAGTAGGATAAGCCACCGTGTCACAAAGCTCAAATCATCTCAAACTGATTTCTTGAGCATGATACTGAGTTCACTGTAATTAAATGGCCCCCATAGTCACCAGATCTCAATCCAAAAGAACACCTTGGGATGTGATGGAAAGAGCCAACAAACGCAGCCAACAAATCTGCAGCATCTGTGAAAGATGTAGCTAATAAAGTGTGTTCCTTACCTGGTGACCTGAAGGTCCAGGCCTCGTCATCATCAAAGTGTGTATCCCCAGCAGTAAACCTCTCTCCAGGGAAAAAGGCATGTGCCACTGTGCCACCCGGCCCATCAAAGGGGTATCCATCGTTGTGGTCAGCCTTAGTGAAGTCGATTTGAATATCTGCATCACTGCCAGCTACTTCATGAAAATTAAGGGGCGCAATATCGCTCCAGACCTTCAGGGCGTAGTACATGAGGGCTCGAACAGTGTCCCTGCCCAGTAAAGCCGAATCCTTAGGAAAGGTCCTGACTCTGTGAGAGAAAACAGAGATCACATATATGCTGAGACAGAATGTGAAATAGATGGATCGATCTATCCACAGTATAGATCGAGTTCTTCATTTCAAATGCCACCAAACCTTTCAAGACTTTTTTTTTAGATTTCTTTTCTTTCCTCTTTTTCTTTTCTTTTTTTTTTTTTTACACATCATGAAGACGTTTTACAGAAATATCATTTATATCTGTCAAATACTGAAAAGTAATATAGTTTTTATGAACTCTGTTAATCAGACTAATCAGAATCTCCTTTTTGATCTTTCATGATTTACAGCAACATTTCATTACTTTTTCACTGTGGAGTCGCTGCTCTTTATAGTACTGTATGAGAAGTGCTGCATTACAAATACTCAGTTTCTCTGCCAAGATAGGCGACTCTTTTCATCCGACTTCTGGTACAGCTTTAATGTTATTGATTAGAACATTTTTCTGGGAAAGTGAGCTCTCTTCTTTGAAAGAAGAACATTTTAATCTTGTTTTTATGAAAGTATAGTACACTAAATCTAACTCGTGTGAGTGCCAAATGAAGCACTCTGCACTCTTTTTTTCCATCTTAAATTTAAGTTAATCCATATTTCATTTATTTATATACTTCAAAGGATATCGCACATTAATTTACATCAATAAAGTGAATGTATCAAATTCTGATGAAAGGATTTGGTCCTTGGCCTTTCCTGCTTCACAGAATAACAGCAGTGAAATCTCACTACATTTATTCCAGTATAGTGGTTTTTTAGCTATACTTTGGCTGCTTTCTCAGCTGATACCAACAAACATAAAGAAGCATCATGTATTAACGTAACAGTTTTTTTCTTTTTTTATTACAAGGAGATGAAAAGATATGAGATGCTTCAACATTTTGAAAGAATAAACAGCCTCATGTGTGGGGTCTATATACAGGTATGGTATAAAGTTTCATGTTACAGTTGTGCTTAACAATTCTACGAATGGAAAAAAAGATAAATGAACAACAAAGTTATTTTTTTTTTGCTGCAGTGATTTTCAAACTTGTTTTTTTTAATGCCAGCCTTCCTCTTTTTCATTGTACTTTTGTTTTTCTGAGTTTTTTGCTAATATTCCCAGCAAAACAAAGTCATTCCTGAGACTCCATTAATATTTCTGGCAGTGCTTTTCCATTGGGTTAAACATTATTAACTCAAACATTAATGAGAATTTAGGGGCGACTGCTTTTGCACTGGTTTAAATGAGCATATTTCTAACATAAAGTAGGCAAAATTATCCCCATCTATATTTCTCTATAGCAAGCAAACTATAAGCTAGTATTCAGTGCTTAACATGAATGGCGGATGGATGTACCATTTCTACACACTATGGTGTGAAAGGTCTGTAGCTACCTTTACTCTTAGGAAAACAACTATGCCCTGTGACCCAGCAAGTACACTTTCAAAATGAATCAATATAGGAAACATATCCAACAAAGTTTGAAACTGTGACCTCATGAGAGCTTATTTTCACCCATCTTTAAAGCATTTGCTCTCCTCAGGACCTGCTAAGTGTTTTCTGATAACTTGAGTCACAAAACCTTTCAAGCTACATTCAGTCCTTTCATCCCACATCCCCTGCTGGAGAAGCAGCTGTTCAGACGATTCAGATCATAGCTCACGGTCACTGGACCTTTACAGTCAGGCAACCTCCTGAACACCTGCCAGAGGAGATCACAGCAATCAGAGCAGCGAGGTCTCTCTAATCCTTTAAATCACTTCTCAAGACACATGTGCAGGTTCTGTTTCAGTTTTGTTTTCATTTATCACCGCTTACCTTTTATCCAGTCTTTATTGGGACTGGTATTTTTTGTTTTGTACTATGATGGACAAGACAGTTTTAGTTCAATAAAACTTTATTTTGTAGCTGGCAACTCTACTGGTGAGTTTACACTCTGCTCTGATAGTGTTGTGTTTGGCTAAGGCTGTTTTTAGCAGCTGTTTTCAGCAAAGAAAGCTCTAAAAACCCACTACATAAACAGTAGCACTGAGATATTACAAACAGAGACTTCTTCTCAATAGCTGGTGGAGGACAAAACAGAGCTAAAAGTTGAGTATGTGGCTAGGAAGTGTAATAAACATGCCTCCTAATTAAGCATAATTTCAACCAAAAAATGGTAGCTGTATAAGTAACAAATGATTTCCTCATGAGGTTCTCAATCTTACAGTCATGACAGCTGCAGTATACACAGTACAAATCCACTACAGTCCTCTATAATTAGTTCTTTAACTTGTGGGAGCAGCGTGAAAAATAGCAGTCGTGCTGGTTAAGAGATGCACATGGAGACTAATCTGAAGGGGACAGCTGCCAAATTTAAGTAAAGTAAGGGAAGGGACAGTTAGGCTAAGGTATGGTACGTTTTTTTGCATTTTAAAGTAAGCTTTCAGTACCCTGAAGTCTAAGTCATCACTGATGATGACCTCACTCCTAGCCTCCAAAACCTAACCCTATGTTTTGGAGACAAGGAAAAACTGACCTTTATAGAAAACAAAATTGATGCCTCTGCAAACCTCAAAACTATGTCTGAACATTTTGATTTCTAAAACAGTTTTAAATGCATAAATTGCAAATAAACAACACACAGTTTTGGCCCTGCGACAGGCTGGTGAATTGTCCAGGGTGTACTAAACCTCTCGCCCTGTGGTGGCTGGGAACGGCTGGCTGGATGGATGGGAACGACCTGGCCAATCAGATAGCAGAAATTGCTCTTTGGCCTGTTGCCATAACGCTCTGCTAATTGTGACTGATTGACAGTTTCAATAATAAACCCAGTTTAATTGTATTCAAGTTTTTTATTGTACTATTGTGGATTAGTAACACCATTTCTAACCCACAATACAGTCTAACATCATCAAGTTCAAAACGGATAGAAAATGAACTAAAAGATAAATAAATGAAAGCATTTGTGCTGTTACGCATGTTAATTTAGATGTATTTAAATTTTAGCTTAAACAAATCAAAGGTTTTGACTTTTTCCCCCATGTTGCATCACATGCTGTGATTGGGTCATCAATGACGAAGATTTGTGGTTTAAGCATGCTTTTTTGTTGGTCCCAAGTATGCATAACGTAACACGCTGGTTTACGGACCTTCGTCTACATGTTGTAGCGATTCACAGCGACCAGCCGCAGAGAAGAAAGAAGTTATAAAACAGCTGAAATGAATACGAGTGATAAAAAACAATGAAAAGTGCCCAATGCAGGCAAGTCTGCGCTTCTCAAGCTGTTTAAAAAAAAATCTCAGTGAACTCCGTAATTCTTTCCACCTTTCAACATCAGTATTTGACCTTGGTCCTCGGAGAACTGCACACAAGCACGTTTGCGTAGGCTGCATACAGTACCCATCCGCACAGCATCTGCGTAGGCAAATACCTACGCAAATGGACACAACTGCAGTACTATAAAATAGGCTTTAAGTCTCAGAGGGTTAATAGCACTGAATCTCTTTAATGATTTTTCTTTATACCCTTGTATAAACTAGACGGGCGCTCTGAAAGTGCATCCTCAGTCAACACCAATGTCTTGTCATTTAAAAAAAAAAAGAGATCCTGATTCATTTTCTCCCTGTTTCACATTCCCACCACGTTTCACGATATCCGGTTTTGTAGTGTTTTTGTGTGATCCTGATACTACACGCACAAAACATATGAAAACATATATTCACCTTGGTTTGTAACTTGGCAGGGGAAAAAATATCCAGTGGAGTAATAATGAATATGGAGCATGTTTATCCCTTAAGTCTAAAACAGAAACTATCACCTATAACATCACACCTCTCTGATGAAATCCCTTCGAGGACTTGACAGCTAACATTAATAGTTTCAGCCCATATCAAGAGATATTTACTCCTGATCCTCACTGCAGCGAACACTTGAGCTGCCTGTTCTGCTGTTATCACAATGCCTTTAACACATCCAGTGATGCGAATGGGTTCATTAATTAGCAAATATGTCTATATCAACATGTTGTCGCAAAACACATGGTCGGCATTAACAATGTTTAAAGCAATAAGGAAATAGCAGCTTGAAAATGGGATTTTTCTTATTAATATGCAAATGTATGCAGCAAAGTCACCTCAAAATCTAATCGGATCATCTATTCTGTGGGGAAACTTGCAGTGTACAGTAGTGCAGAATTTTTCTTGCCTTGATTTATTTGGGAAAATGTGGCTGTGCAGTCCATTTGTTCATGCTGCCTGAGCATCTGAGCCTCACTGCTAACCACAGTTAGCCAAGGTCACTGCAAATGGCTCAGCCTCCACAGACAATTCACCTGCTCATTAGACCTAATTCAAACAGACGAGGGTGGGTGATTGTGTATGTCTGCGCGTTTGGGTGGATGTTTGTGAGAATGAAAGATGGGGAAGCGCGACGGTGTGTAAGTGTCCAAATATCCAAATGTGTGCGTAGCATCGAGCTGTAAGTGAGTGAGTGTGTATGGGTCTGTGTATATGTGCTAATTGCAGGTAAGTCCACCAAGGTCAGAGCATTCCTGCCCAGCATCTCAGATGAACTGAGGAGTCTCTGGGTGATGCTTGTGTTTACATACAGTATGGTGCAAAGGGGCATAAAAATGAGGCGGTTGTCATTTCTCTGTAGTGCTTCCCTTAAATATGATCTTTACAGATCATGGCACGGATCTGACAGCATCTCAAACGTGCACCTTGATTTTAACAGCCTTATCGATTATATTTCAGTAAAGCAAATAACTTTAATAAACATCACGTCTGAGTAAACACCTTCGTGATGTTTATTAAACACCTTGGCCTCAATAAATCCACGTCAGTGTAGGGGCTTTATGATACAGTTACAACACACCCAAGCTTAACTTTACTTTTTGGAAAATTTACCTCAAAGAGATTCACAGATTTTCCACCCAGGTAAAGTCATATCGGGTTAATGTATCACTCACTTCATTTAAATCAGAAGTGATTGTGTAGTTTGCTCAGTAGCTGTGTAAACTGACTGAGTATGT